GGGCAGATTGCTAGTGTCGTCTCGGTTTCCTCGCCTTTTCTTGCTGACTGCAGGGGGCCCGTGCACCTCTCTCTGCTATGAGCAACTTTTTACTGCCCGCGAGTATGCTTCCGAGTGCGTGAGAGACTGCTTCTCACGCTCTCCCCACTCACTTGCCTAATCGGCGGCACGCGGCACCGTCAAGTGCGGCCAGTGTCACGCGCCTGCCTGCACTATAATCGCGTTCTTTTCTTTCTCTCTTTTCTCTCTCTTTCTCTCTCTCTCTTTCTCTCTTACAAGAGCGCATGTTACTGCGCGCTTTTGTCGACCAATGCCGCTGCCTCTCTCTATCTCTCCTCTTCTTTCTTGTTGCGGTAGCAATGCTGAAAACATAAAGGCTGGCATCAGGCACGTGAACTATGCGCCATAGGTCTGCCATGAGTCCTTGCCGATGGTAGGGAGAGATAAGAGACACACGGTGCAGGTCAAATCCACCGGCACCGTTACATATTGTATTATCATATTTTACTTTTTATCAACATCCATTTCTAATTTTTTTCTTATGTTCATTTGGTATGTATGGTTATTTAATAATAGCAACATTTGTGTCTCCGCTTGCTCTATAAAAATGATTAGCAAAGAAAAAACAAGAAATGATTTTTTGTTAAAATTTATACTTTCAACTTTTACCTTCATAGATTTGTTTGGATTATTTACGGAATATAAATATTGAAAATTGTAACGGGGGAGGTTATTTGAAAAATGGAAAATTTATATAAGAACAAATTCCCACGATGCAAAGCAAACTTAAGAGTATTCACCTTAACGTCAGATGATTTATCCTAGTTGTCTTCTGTTAAACGGAGTTGAACTCACCTTAAGTCACGTGTCCTGTGACACTCGTTGAGTTTTAAGTGTGAGCGACTTTACTCCTAATATGCTTATTCCCCTAGATGTAATTAGATTAAAACCTAAGCCTTCTTCAATTACTTAAGCTACTAGGAAAATTAAATTACGAAAACGGCGAATAAATTTCACAGACTTTAATTAATAAAAATTACTACAGTCTTTGTAGGGCCGAAAGACTAACGCACGCGAATAGGATTTTACAATTAGTTATATTCAGTGAGAAAGAGAGAGAGAGAAGATTCGAATTATACAGCGAACTAACGCTCGACGCGAATACAAAAAATAATCACGAATATACAAATTACCGAATGTATTTTGTATTGCTTAATATAACGAAAGGTGCACTTGCATGCGGTGCAATTACGGTGATCAGCCGTAATTGTGTTGCAAAAATATCAACTGCCGCTGCCCCTTGATTATCAGCTGCGCTGCCTTGTACTGCCTCCAATTAGTTACAATCTGCTGCTTCTGCACTGCTACTTGCTGCTGCTTTTTATCTCGAGAATACCGTTGCACTCACGCACGAAATTGTCCCAGAAAACTAATTATTCGGCGAAAACAAAGTGCAACACAAATCGGCGGTAAATTGGCGTTCACAGCTGAGGCGTAACTGCCTATTCAAAAGATCGCGCGCCCCCTCTCTCTCGTAACTTTTAGAACTAACGCGCGAGAAGTAGAATCGCGAACGGTTCGATTAATTAACTCGACTACCGTTGCAAATTATATATATAATACGAGTATTAGAAAAAGTTTGTCTCTATAAAAACACAGGCCGACAAATTTCTCACCTAGAAACAGGATCTTATGTGCCCGAAAGATTTTGGTGCGCTGAATCCGAATCTGACCTCAGATTTTTAATCCTATACGTCAGATTTTCGAGATATTCTAACCTCAAAATGCGAAAAACACGTTTTATTGCCATATTCGAGGATATGTGACACCGTGAATAATTTTTTTTTCAAAAACGGGTAATACCACCCCGAAGGAGCACTCTTGTCCGTTAAAATACATTTTTCAGATTCAAGATAGCTTTTTTTTCATCGAGATATCACTGATTGAGGTTAGTACTTTCGCAATTTTGTAACAACATTAAAATAACCTATATAGCATATGTGAAGCTATAACCCCAAGTTATAAGTGATCAGATTTGACCGAAAAAATGTATACATGGGTTTTAGAGAGTGCTGATCACGAATACGAAGTCAGATGTTAAAAATTTAAAATGGCGGATCCAATATGGTTGACTAAAAACTTTATATTTGATTGGATTTGGACAAAAAAATATATACATGGGTTTTCTGGGTCGCTGGTTACGAATATGAAGGCATATTTTGCTAATTAAAAATGTCGGGTTTAATGAAGTAGGCCAAAAATATTTGATTTTACTGAATTTGAACTAAAAATGAAAAGAGTGTTTCACAATGAGTTTTTATTTTATAAAATCTGACTTCAGTGATTTTTTACATATATAAATAAGTAAAAATGTAAAGAATATTTCCTATGAATCAAATCAAACATTAAATATTTGGTCTGCTATATTGGAGCAGCGATTCGAAAAATCTACGGGTGGCATATAAAGTTACGATCAAATTCACGTACTTATTAAATGACTGCAAGGGTTTATGGATTTTAGATTCAGGGGTCTGAGAATATACACTTGCAAGTAACAGGGTTCAGGGATTATGTTATTTGGGTTCCAGAGGACTGAGAATATATACTCACAGGTTACAGGACTTGAGGAAACTGGGGATTTAGGATTTAGAGTTATAGACTCGCAGGTTAGAAGGCTAGAGGGTTAAAAAAATTTGGGTTTAAGAGTTTGGACTTATGGATTCGCAGGTTACAGGACTAGAGGGTTAAGAAAACTAGAGATAAAGGGTTTGGGGATATAGACTCGCAGGCTCTGGTACACGGGGATCAAGAAAACAGGGGATTAAGGATTGGGGGTTATAGTCTGGTTTCAAGCGTTGTGGTCTAGATGGCTTGGAGATTGGGGGGGAGAGCTCTGTAACCTGTTCGGATGTTCTTATTCTTAAACCGAAATTTCCTTAATATCAAGATCTAAGTTCATATTCGTGGTCAGCAACCTAAAAAAATCCATGCTTAAATGTGGAACTCGATTACTTATAAAATTTTTGGTCCGCCATATCGGACCGCCATTTTGAATCTTCAAAATCTGACTTCAAAGTTGTTATCAGTATTCTCGAAAATCCATACATATATTTTCTCGATCGATACCTACTTATAAACTGGGGTTATAGCCTCACATAAGCTATATAGGCTGTTTTAATGTTGTTAAAAAACTACAAAAGTACTAACCTCAATCACTGATATCTCGATGAAAAAAAAGTCTTGAATCTGAAAAATGGATTTTAAAAGACAAGAGTGCTCCTTTCTGGTGGTATTACCCGTTTTTGAAAAAAAATTATTCACGGTATCACATAACCTCGAATATAGCAAAAACCCGTGTTTTTCGTACTTTTAGGTTAAAATATCTCGAAAACCTGACGTATACGAGGTCTGTCCGAAAAGTATCGGGTCTACGATTATATCTTCGCGCCATAGTGTTCGAGCGACCTCTACCAGACAGAAACGTTAACAGTAAAGCCTCACGAATCTATTGGTTACTTACTGACACCTGCCGGACGTATAGTTCATACGCAGCGTGTCTTTGTTTACAGTGCCTTTTTCGCGTTCGTTGGATTTTGATATTGTCAAAAATTACTGAAAAACAAGATCAACGAATTTGCATCAAATTTTGATTTCAACTCGGAAAAACGAGTTCGGAAACTATTGAAATGATGCAAAAGTCCTTCGGAAGCGAGTGAATGAGCAAAACACGAATAAAAGAGTGGTATAAACGGTTCAAAGATGGACGCACTTCTGTCGATAGTGATTCTCGTTCCGGCCGATCTTTGACGACAAAAACCGCAGATAATATTGAGCAGGTGCGACTTGCAATCGAACAAGATCGTCGTCTGACTGTGCGAGAACTAGAAGAAGACCTTGGGATATTAAAAACTATCATTTCAGAAATTTTAACCGAAAATTTAGGAATGAAACGCGTCAGTGCGAAATTCATCCCAAAATTGCTCACAGCAGAGCAGAACATTCGCTTAGAAATCGCTCTGGACAATCTGGAAATGGTCAATAATGATGATAATGTGCTTAGAAAAGTTATTACAGGTGATGAGTCATGGGTTTATGCTTATGATCCTGAAACAAAACAACAATGTTCACAGTGGAAGCATTCTGAATCGCCAAGACCAAAAAAGCACATCCAAGTCGGAGCAATGTTAAGTCAATGTTGATTGTTTTTTTCGATTATGAAGGTGTTATAGATCACGAATATGCACCAACAGGTCAGACAATCAATAAAGAATACTACGTTCAAATTTTGAAACGTTTGCGTGATGCAGTAAGAAGAAAACGGCCGCACTTTTGGGAAAATGGTGACTGGCTTCTCCATCACGATAATGCGCCAGCGCGTGCATCCCATCTTGTGCAGCAGTTTTTGAGCAAACACAATATCTCATTGCTTCGACAACCTCCATACAGTCTCAACATAGCCCTTGTAACTTGTTTTGAAAAGTGGAAACATCGATGGAACCGTGTTATTCAATCAAGTGGGGATTACTTTGAAGGATGCCACCCACCAGATGATAAAGAATAACGCTAGCACGAAAATATAAAGGTAGGCCCGATACTTTCCGGACAGACCTCGTAGAGTTAATTCTAAGGTCAGATTCGGATTCAGTGCACCAAAATCCTTCGAGCACAGAAAGTCATGTTCCTAGGTGAGGTTATTCGTTAAATTTTGTCGGCCTGTGTAATTGTTGTTTTCATGATTGTCTTTTTAGAATAGTTAAAAATATAAAATGATAGGGAGACAATGTCATTTTGCGGTATTCATAATTACTATTTTGAAGAGTACTCTGACTATAAAGCCGAAGGTACCAATTATTATTGGATTTCTTACTCTTCTTACCTTAAATTATTTATTATCAATGTCTAACATTAAAGGCAGATAGAGTATAAATATTTATAAATTCATATTTATTATGAAATACTTTGTAAAATAGGTAATATGAAAAGATATTTTCTATAATTACCTTGGGACCTCTAAATCCTGGTTTACATTTACATTCCCCATTTATGTGATCACAGCTTGCACCGTTATAACAATCACATACTTTTTTACAACCGTTACCCCAAAAACCATTGAGACATCTATTAGCACATACAGAACCCTGTTGAATACGTAATTATTGTCAAATTATTGGTTTAGAAGAATTACAAATAATTATTTTTAGAAATTTTCCTCACCATCCATCCCGCCGGACAATCACATTTCCCATTTATTGGATTACACGATCCTTCATTTTGACAATTACATTCTGATATACAATAATCTCCGTGTTTACCAACAGGACATGATTCTTCACATCTAGAAAAGAAAATTTATACTGTTGTATATGGCATACAGTAAAATCTGAATAAATTGAACACGTTTAAAGCACGGTTATAAAATCAGTGTTCTTCGGATTTGATGTCTAGGCTCTTAATTTTCTATTCAGACCTATTAACAATTACCTCAATTTTTTGAAAATTAGAATTTAAAATTATCTTAATAATTCATTGAAAATGTTTTATAATAATTTTAAGGGAATACTACGATTGACGCAATGTGCTTATTTCTACTTATGAGCGGTATTTATAAACGATAATGCACAACGTCCACGAAACAAGCAAACAGCGCATATCTGTTAACTACTCGGAGAGATTGTCGACACCACTGCACGATAACCCTCAACCGAACGACATATGCAGGATCTAGAAAAACTGTACGATTACATATACAATATTGCTTCTAAATAATAAAGTATCAATAGAAATTTGTTAGTAAAGAAATCAATTATCCATTGTATAAGATCTCGAATAATGATGGTAAAGTGTGTAGTCGGGCTTGATCGTGTCGAGGTGTGAGCATAAATACACGGTTAGGATCTGTAAGCAAGGAAACACTGCTTGCATAAACTTTGTCGGATTGTCGAAACAAAGACTTGTATAAGAGAAGGATACTGATGACGGTTAAAAAAATGATCGACAATTGTACCTATGCATCGGGTAAATTCTTGACAAGAACGTTGAACGATAGCTTAATTAAGAAGTTGAATCAGTTGATTCAGTTGACTCTCCAAGAAAATAAAATAAAAATTCAAAATAATTTGAAAATTAATAAATGCGAATCGAAATTGCAAAGTATCTCGCTCTTCTGATTACACTTATATTTGTTGGCGATCGAATGACCATATTACTAAATTACCTCAATACAGTTAGGGACGTGATTTTGAAAACTTCATAAGGTGACAAAGATATATCAAATAATAACAAAAAAAATAAGATTATTCTCAAATATAAATGTATGAATCTCTATCATAGAAATTAACCGAAGTTACTTGTTAGAATTTCTACACGATAGTGCGACGTCTGAATAAGTGGTAACCAACGCTACCAAAGATGTAAGCATGATAGCTTAGTAGAATGTCTAAATTAGTTTTTCAATCAAAGAGAGGGAAGGATGAAAGTCTTAGATTCACTTTTTTCTCAAAAGGGACTTCAACCTCAAGAGTTGAGATACTGCGACCTTTCGTAATGAGACGAAACAGCATAGCATAAATTACTTTAATAAAGGATATTCCTCAGGAATTAAGCTAAGTTTAATTCCATATTCCGATGGCTACCCGCGCTGCAGGGAATTTGGTGAAAAGGTCCGTTTTACGCTGTTTTCGCCAATTACGCAAACTTAAAATTACAATTTTATAAATTGTTATAGATATGATAGTTTAAAATTTGTTCTTTTAAAAAAGTTTTTGGTACATGCTATGAATTTAAATAACTTATTTTGAAAACTCTAGAGAAACTTAATTTGAAAAATCTATAGAATTATTCATAGACTTTACAATATTGCAGCAATTATATAATAAAAGTTCTCGTTGAGTATGTATTAAGTTTTGCAACGATTACCGAAAATCGTCAGACTCGCGCGAGGTTAATGAGCGGCTAAACGAGAGGAGCCGCGTTCGGTTCGCGAGAGAGAGAGAGCGCGTAGGGGCAATGACCGGGAGGGGAGGCTCCGACCGGCAGTATGACTGTGCCACTCAGTCCGCCTGTATCGTGCAGCTAACCTGTTTTCCGAGCCCTTTTACGTTTTCGTGTGGTGGTGCGAACTTAGAGGTGCGAACTTTGGTGCGGAGTGCTGGGTGCAGTAGCAGCAGCAATAGCAGCAGAAGCAACAGCAACAGCAGCAGTAGAAACAGCAATAACAGCAGCGGCAACAGCAACAGCAGCAACAGTATTCGCGGCGGTGCAGCGAGCAGCGAAGCGGCGTTCCAGCGATTTGTTGTTCGGATACGGTTGGCCACCGTATCCTCATCGTTCTCGCGGTAGGTGCACCTTCCCCTTTTTTACCGTTGTAATTGGCGTGCGATCCCGCGCAGCGTGCGCGAGGTAATTAATTGTTGCGCGCGAGCGATTAGTTCGCGGTAGTCGCGGTTTTCTCTCTCTCTGAATCTGCGTGTGTTGTCATTCGCGCAAGCGTGCGTAAGTCTCTTGGCCAAACCCTCGTGTATCTCAGTTGCATAAATAAAGTGCATATTAATCGTCACCTTCAAATCACATAGTCGTTATTTAGTCTTTCCTTTGTCCGGAGGTCGCGTCAGTATTTGTTTACGTTTGATTCGAATTCGCCGGTAGCGTAGCACGAATCACGAAAATATCGATAGGCGGGAATCTTCAACTTGGGTTCCAGCGGCGGCCGCACGAGCGCTACTAGCAAGGGTGACAGCGCCGCCAAGCGGCGAGTTGGGGGAACCCAACTCGGAATAGTAAGGAGACTCTGCGCAGGCGCACTCCGAGACAAGGTAGGTTGCTGTGCTTTGAGCACAGAGATAACAAGGCGTCGTCTAGTCGTAAATAAAGGTACGTTTACAGGATTACCGACTAAACGGCAGCCTGTTACAGTTTGTACAAATGGCGTTTTACGTTTTTGAATCTTGAAACGCTGGATGCTATACAGGGTGTCCCATTTTTAAGGAACCACCCCGAAATTTTATACGGTTGGCGTTCTACAAAAAAATTGTTCAGATAAAAGTTATTTGGGACAATGAGGAACACCTTTTCCAGAAATCAGATTTGATTTTGAGATTTATTTTCAAGGTCATTTATTTGAAGGTCAAAGTCATTTTTTGAATAGGTACCTATAATTTTGATCTCGGATTCGGAAAGAGCGAAAAATTCTACGTTCACATAAGGTATTATGTGTGGGGTGCGGTTATCCCCCCTCCCGCATAAGGTCACGTAGGGGTCAAATTTATTATTTTCTTCATCTATGCACAGAGATGATCGGGCAAGGGTAAGATCAATTTTAATAACCCAATAACTTGCTGGTAATATCTTGCCCCCCCCCCCCCCATCCAACCCAATAACGCGACGGTAATATCTTGCTGCAGCACGATATCGGCCTTTACCGTCAAAATTATCCAGGGAGGCTTCGGTACCCAAGCCACGTGAGAATCCGAATCATTGAACGAAGAGAGAGACGTCGACCACGAATACGCCCCGAGAGATAACAGAATGTCAACAATTAGGCAGTTTACATGGCGTCGAAGCTAAAAAATAGAAAATAAGCTTTCGTTCATTAAATGAAATAAACTTTTACGTAACCTTCAATAAATCTAGAATGAATCCTTGAATAAAGCTTTGATAAATGGATAAAAAATGGAAAATAAATTTTCTTTATTATTAATAAGTTTGCCTAACTTGGCTGGCTACCAAGTCGGCTACTCAAACCACCTTATTTTTTTATTTCGGATTTGGAACGAAAGTTAAATTGATCACTCCCACATTGTCTTAATCCATTAAGGCCCTTGCCAAACCTGGGTAAGATAGCGCCAAACTAACTATGCCAATCGTAGGTAAATCGAAAAAAAATATCCGTGTTTTTTCTTTTGCCATTTACAATTATTTATCAAAAGTTATTTAAACAAATTATCGAAAGGTAATAATTTGAAGTCTGAAAAAAAAACGTTACATACGTTTCTTTCATATTTTTTCCCGTAGAATCAATTTTTGAAAATAATTTTGTAGGAAAAAAAATTATTTTTATTCTCTTTTCTGGTGTGATTCCGGACCAGCCTACAGAGTTTCAACTAAATCGGTGAATAACACTTCTTTAGTATTATTTATGAAAGAGGTGATTCGTGAACAGTCCTTCTCAGGATAGTTCACGTGGAAATTTCTTAGTATCTAGCGAATCAAAGGGATAAATATGCCAGATTATTCGAGAAACGAAATTGTTGACATTCTGTTATTTCTCGGGGCATGTCAAGGCCGATATCGTACTGCACCAAGATATTACCGTCAAAATTACCCAGGGAGGCTCCGGTACCCAAACCACGTGAGAATCCGAAACATTGAACGAAGAGAGAGACGTTGACCACGAATACGCAGAAATCGTCGTCGCATTATCAGACAGAACAACTATGATCCACGAATTCTCGTTGTTTTGGCAATGGTTGATTTGGATCATCATATCTCTTTGCGAGAAAGTCAAAGACGTACTGGAATCCCAAGAACAACAGCCGGTAGAATTTTGCGGCTTCATAGATTTCATCCGTGTCACATAACTTTGACTCAAGCTTTGATGCCAGATGATCTCCGTCGCAGACTCAAATTCTATAATTGGGCACAAGTAAGGATTCGTGAAGATCGTGAATTTTTCAGATATGTAATGTTTTCGGACGAAGCTACATTTCATAGTAATAGGCAACTCAATCGCCATAATAGTCATTATTGGTCTATCCAGAACCCTCAATGGGTACGTCATGTTGATAATCAGCATAGATGGAGCTTCGTAGTTTGGTGCGGTATAATAAATGGTTATCTGATAGGACCTTATTTTTTCGATGGGAATGTTAACGGCGCAGCATATCTTAATCTCCCGCAGAATGAATTACTAGAATTATTTGAAGATGTGGATTATTATTATTATTATTATTATTGTTTCCCCGGTGGGATAGGAGGGGGGGTTGACCGCACCCCACACATAATACCTTACCTGAACGTAGAATTTCCCGATCTTTCCGAATTCATGATAAAAAATAGGGGTTTTTATTAAAAAAATTACTTGGTTATTTGGTTATTGGGGTTATTAGGGTTGGTTTTTTGGGTTATTGGGTTATTTGAGTTTTTGGGTTATTAAAATTAACCTTACCCTTGCCCGATCATCTCTGTGCATAGATGAAGACAATAATAAATTTGACCCCTACATGACCTTTGCGGGAGGGGTGATAACCGCACTCCACACATAATATCTTATCTAAACGTAGAATTTTTCGCTCTTTCCGAATCCGAGATCAAAATTATAGGTACCTATTCAAAAAATGA